GATGATTGGATAATGTCTCTGTATTCCTCCCAGGTTACCTGTCCCTGCATCCACCCTCTGTATGCTTCCTTTTTGTGTTTGAGTTTTGCTAGGAGCTCCTTGTTCATCTGTGCAGGCCTCCTAGTATTTTTGCCTGACTTCCTGCTCATTGGGACTCTTGAACTTGGAGGAGGTGATCCTTCAATATTAACCATGTTTTTTTTCTTGGGTCCCTCTTCCCTCCAGAACCTTATCCCAGAGGACTCTTCCGAGCAGATCCGTGAAGAGGTCAGCACTGCTTTCCTGAAGTCCAGCATTGTGACCTTTTTGCTTGCTCACTCCTCTCAGGAGCCTGAACTCCACCACCTCATGGTCACTGCAACCAAGGCTGTCTTTGACCTTCATATCTCCAACAGACCCTTCCTTGTTTGAAAGTATGAGGCCCATGAATGTGAGTAGCACCCCTCCTCATTGGTTCCTCTATTGCTTGGGTCAGGAAGTTGTCATCGATGCTCTCCACAAACCTCCTGGATTGCTTATACCCTGCTGTGTTGTCCTTTTAACAGATATCAGGGTGGCTGAAGTCCCCCCTGAGGACCAGGGCCTGCAAAAGTGAGGCTATTTCTAGGTGTCTGTAGAAGGCCTCATCCACTCCTTCCTTCCTCCTGATCAAGCAGCCTATAGCAGATGCCCACTACAATGTCACCCACACTGGTGGTGGGTTTTTTTTTTGTTTGGGTTGGGTTTTTTGTTTGTTTGTTTGTTTTACAGACAGTTAGCTTGCTGGTGCCCTTCAGAAAAATCTGCAGTCCCCCAGTGGTCCAGAAATACAGGCTGAAAACACTGTCTAAATCAATGCCAAACTGCCATCCTGGACAGTCCTGCAAAACTGATCCTTTTACCAGTGCATGAGAGGCAGTTAGATACAGATACTACTTACACAGAGTGCCACTGAATGCATATAGCTGGCTACCATGGCAAAAGCTATGGCTAGCTGACGGGCTCTGCTGGTTTCAGATTTACCATGTCAAAGATTTTAAAAGTTAACTAAAATTATCATAAAATTGTCTTTTAGTAAGGCAGGTAATAACAGCCCTTACTACACCTGGTGAAAAGATACAACACTGCTTCAGACCCATAGTGTCCAAAATGTAAACAGAGTTTGGGCACTCCCACCTTCTCCAAAAGCACTCCTTGTCTTGTTTCGATCTACAAAAATATCTCTGGAGTAGACTACAGAGGCACGCAGATGCCACTGAAAGTCAAACACGAAGACCACTGCATATTCTTTTAAAAAAGGTTCAAACTTGGTTGTATTTTCTTTAGGAATATAATCTGACTGTGAATGTCTGTAAACTATATGGCTCCCTCTTGTGCCTATTATACGACATTTCAGTGTACAAAAAAATTTTAACATTAAGCCATAAATATTTGGGCTCTGTTTACCCTTCAGTAGGCATGCAATACCCATAAATGTTAATGGAAGTCACATGCATACCTTCCAGGGGAAGAGAAAACCCTGCAGTTTACAAAATTTTTCTTTGGAACAAACTACAAAAACACCTTGCAAACTACAAGTCTGCTGCGATGAAAGTACCCTTTTGACCATTCATTGTATTTTGATAGCAATGCAGAGGCCAAATATACCTTTAAAGCACATCTGTAAGAACTTTCAACTAATTTTTAGTTATCAAATTACATAGGTTTAGAAAGGTGTCAGTGTGGTTTATAGAGCCTGGCTAACATGCTCAAGGGTTTATTTTTGTCTACTCAACATCCCACCTGTTTCTGCTTATCAAACCAGACTACAGTTTAGCTTGCAACAGCTGTGAAATTCATAAATCTGCCCATTCTTCATGTGTATCCAGACTAAGCACTTGGAGACAGAGTTAGAACTGCAGCACTCTGAGAAAGCCACTCTTACGGAGAAGCCAGGGAAATAAAACAGACCAGCACTTGTCAAACAATGTTTAAAACTGCACACCTATCAGAAGCCAAATTATTTTAATAACAGTCTAGCAATCCTATTTGGAAACAAAATGAAGCATTTGAAGAAATGATTTGTTAACCCTTTTATTCTAATAAACATTATTCTAATGTTTATTAGAAACATTTTGCAGACTAAAAATGCTGCAAAGGAATTAAAATATTTTGCTTGCACAAAATATTCTCTTTCTCAGTGTTTTTAAATATCAACAAAACACCTTTTATTTCAAGATGCTACTAGTTTACTTTCTGCAGTAGAATAGCTATCAAAAAAGTAAATATAGTTATAAGATTTTTGTATTACAAAAAGTGTATTTGTAAATTTTAAAAAATATTAGTCTGCATACCTGAAGCAATATCAAAATCCTGGTCACACAGGACACTTTCATTAAAACGCTTATGGTAAAGCAGTAGTAGTACTGAATGAAACAACGGTATACAAAAAACTAACGTTCACTTCCATAAAGCTTGCAGAGTACACTGCCTTTAATAGGAAAGTGGTTTTGCTTTGCTTTCTTTCCATTTATATGATGAATTTTTCTCTCACCACCTCTTCTTCCCTTTTCCATATGCTCATGAATTACCCTTAGCACTAGTATTTTGTGGGTCAACCTCGTTCATAAAATGATATGAGTGCATGCAAGATGATACTAAAACTCATTTCAGCTTTTCTGAATAATAAAAAATGGTACTTTGTTTTAGGGAAGAAAGAGGCTTTTTTTTTTCCTATGAACTTTTTTCCTCCACCATTTCATAAATTACAAGCTCTTATTTTTGAGAGCAGAAACAGAAATCAACAAGTTTTAAAACTTTTCCATGAGTTTTCATCAAAAGCATTAATAATAGGTACCCAGCACATTCACTTGGCACTCCTGGAGCCAGCTGAAATTATATATCTTCCTAATGTGACATTTACTGAATACCAGTAAAGAAACATTCAGCTGAAATTGTGGTTACGTGGCAGTGCTGAAGCATGGCACCAAACAACCAGAACACACCTAAAATTTACCTAATACTTATTACCACTCATTCTCCAAAGAACAAGTAAATAAAGCAAATGATTCCTACCTGATCTACTTTCATGCTCACGTTCAACATGAAACAACAGCTATATTATACAAGAACATAAAACAAGCAATAAAAGCATTTGTCAGGAAAAAAAAAAAAAAAAAAAATCTGGTCTAGATTTCTGACCACAAGTGACAAGAACCTACATGTTAACAGTCCATACAGAAGGCAACAGTACAGTACTAAACACTTCCTTAGGTATACTAATACAAAGCTCAAAGAGAAGATAGCCATTTATTTAAACACTATTTCCACAAAGGTTTCCCGTAGCTGCAGATCAAACCAAACTGAATCAGCCTCAACAATATCAGACTGAGAAGTCTTCCTCCATGAGCTGTCATAGCAGCTTTCACAGAATTGCAAATGTAAAACAGGAAATATAAGAGTGCAGAGTATTAAAGGCTTGTTACCATGTACAGCACATCACCATCACTGGGGTTCTAAAGACAGTCTGCCCTTAAAAGTGATCTCACGTACATCATTCTCAAACTGTAGCTTTTCTTACTCTTCACAGTCAACAGCATGGACTTTGATATGGAATATAAATTATTTTTTAGTGAGACATTACTTTGACCACATTAGCTTCAATGCCAAACAAATGATCTTTGATTAGCTTTAAAAGAAAAGAAATAGCGTGTATTTGCCATCCTTAAGCAGATTATGCGCCACATGAAACTTTCCTAAACAAAAAATGTTTTGTCAAACATTTAAGCTGCTTTTCACATAATAGATATCTCATGCTTCAACTGATGTTATACCACTGCATTTTATATACATTCTTCAGTTGTGCTTGCATCACTTCGATATCAGTTTACATGTATTCACCAATCACTGAGAAGCAGTTCTGAAATACTGGACACATGGCAGTCAAAATCCAGGGTTTCATTCCAGATCTTATTTCTCTGTAAAACTGTATTTCAGGTTTTTTTTAATGTTGTGACCACATAACCTCTCACATAATACTATTAGTGCAGGATTAGTCAATAAAAATGATGGAACTAGTCATAGTGATAGTTTAGCTATCTGAGTAAGTACTGCAAGAGCATGAATAGCAGTTGGAAGAATTGGATAAGTTACACAATATTCTGCAATAACTCTTTAAAAACAGTAGAACTATTTAGGGGTAAAAAGATACTCTAAGGAAATAAAGTTTAGGAGTTCTGTGCAGGCAATATACTCTGAGGAAAAAAGTGAAAAGCTAGAAGGTCAAATGTGGACTGGCAGCCTAGAAAAGCACATGGCAAGAAAAGAGAGTTGGCTAAACTATCGTTTTCTGAATTGTGACACCTGGAAGAAAGAATTTTGTTCCTTCCTGATATTAAAGCCATTGTTCCTACCCTACACTCCTTGCCTCAAAATGAAGTGCATCTTATTTGGTTTTCACCCACTATTTTCAAGGACTTCAGTTTTCAAAATATATCCTTCCGTTCCTTATACTTGGTAAATTGACACTGTGTTTGAAACATACGAAGTTCTTTGAAGACCAAACAGCTACGCAAAATAATTTAACTTTTGTTGACTTAAAACAGTTAATAGAAAAGCTTTGGAACTCTGATAATGTTAAAGGAGAATAGAATTGCTTTATGTCTTCTGACCTCTCCTATGGCCAAAAAAAAAGTCTCTAGATCACACAATTGTAGAAATTCAGTACATGGAGTCATATGCTTTTTACACAGATTGTGCCACAAAAAGCTTTGGATGTTTGGACATCGAGCAGTACCTTGCCAACAACACATCACCATTCACTTACAACATCAATTATGTCTAGACATCAGTCAGAGTAACAGTTGTATCTTAGAAACTCAATTTAAATCATTACTTCAGAACATGATGAAAAGTTCACCCATCTCAAGCCTCCCCATACTCAAATTGTTACCAGACGGGTTTATCTTTGTATTTGAAAGCAATCAAAATAATTATGTTAAATAGAATAGAAATCAACAGTTAATCCACTGTCATTGGAAATATAACATATGCAATGGTTTTATTCTATGTCAATTAACAATTATAATTTTACTTTGTTTACTGCAAACTATACATTTTTCGAAGAGTCATAGAGGCACAGATTGTAGATCTCTGCAGGTCACTTAGCCCAACTTCCCACAGGCAAACTTCTGGAGTCTGGCTACCAGTAGCAAGTTGAAAGCAATTAGATCATCCCTTATCTCCTTGTCCCCAGAATAAACAACTCCACCCCGCTCCGTCTCTCCTTGCAGGGATAAAGGGCTGAAGCAAATGACATCTTAATAGTCCTCCTCTGATCTCATTCTAGTTTGTCAACATGTCTCTTGTGCTGGTGGGCCCAAAACTGTACAGTATTCCAGATGAAGTCTCACCCAATGCCAAACAAAGGGCAGGAATCACACCTCTCAACCAACTAAATACGTTCTTATATATTCATAAGCCTACTGAACTGTGAAATTTTAACAGCCATTCAAAAAACAGCAGGAAATTGCTTTAATGATTCAAACCTTAAAGAGCAATACACTTGCTCTATTATTTAGCATCACTGTTTTCGCACCTTCCTCAATAATCACCATGAGAACAACATAGACTGTATACTACATATAAGATGCTTACCTGAATAACTTTGTAGAAATAGGCATACTGTCGAGCTGTATTTTTATATTGGCTAAAAACATCATGTATGGCCTGAGTTGACTGAAGATACTGCACTTCATCTTCTTCAAAATAGAGAGGAGTGTCATATTCACTGGGGAGTGTCTGGATGTAGGGCAGCCAGAAAGAGTTGGGGTTGGCTCGCTCACAAAGGAGATGGAATGCCAATGTTATATTGCCCATAGCTTGAAGAATTCGATCTTGAGAATACAGGGATCCTGAATTAACCCAGAAAGGTGAGGCACTAAATTAATTGTCCATGGAAAATATCATCCTAGATTTACTTTAAATGAACATGATGAGATAACATGTAAAAATTTTCAACAACAAAAAAAAGCTTTTCAGGTTTCTAAAATATTTAGCTGTCCACATTGTATTATGCTGCAAGTTATTTGACACAGTAAATGCCTCATGTACAATTGCATGATGGAAGACATGAATAAACTAGAACAATACTCTCAGTACCTCAGAACATTTTATCTCTAAGTGTTATACAAGCTACATGATATGTGTTCAAAATAACACACACACTTCTGGAAGATATCTAGTGTGCTCAGCCAGAAACAAAGAGGAAAATTAAATTCCTTCCACTGACACTTCAAGCTTCTAGGTATTCTAAACCTGATGGTCGGCATGATAAGCAAGTCTTGTAATAAAGGAGATCAGCAAAAAAAAAAAGAAAGTCTCCTATTGAATGATCCCATACATATCAACTTTTTGCTTAAGAACTTCCTTAAGCTCTTACCTAATACTGAATTTTTAGCTGACTCAACAGTCATCAACAGTTTTCTAGGAACCCACAGAAACAGCTCTTCAGCCTACAGAAAGGAAAAAATGCATAGAGGGTCAGTTAGCATTTATATGATATGCCAAGTGTCTCAAATATACATTGTCTTTAAATTACAGGTTGTTTTAAATTTTTTTTTTTTTTTTAGATCAAAATTATTCTGAATCAAAATTCTTCCTTCTCTTCCACTGCAAATTAAACAAACATGCTATGTTTCATAACCAAATGTTCCATGTTCTGCATTACACAAAGCTTAAAACAAAGACACTTAGTTTACAAAATAAAGTGCTTAGTTTGGAACTGCTAACAGGTAGATTGCCCACACAATGTCAAAGCTACCAGATAAATTACATTGCTATTAGTTTTGTGATCAAATATTTTCTCCCAGTACAGGGCTTTTCACATTGCCCATTCTTATTTTAGAAAAACTTTTCAGGATTTTTATCAACCAGTAGTGCTAGCCTTATTAACTATGTGCTACTAAAGCCCTAAAATGAATATAATATGCTCGTTTTCTAATATTCTTTCTACAACAGCTGATTGTTCTTCAAAGCTGTTTCCCATCTGTAAAATGGGAATGGAAAGAGGCAATCTTAAGTGCTTACCTTTTAACAGTTAGCTAAGTGTGTTTGTCTATATTCCTTACCTGATGAGCAAAAGATATTCTTTATGATTATCAGGTAATTTTGTTTTTTTTCATTTTCACTGGAAAATAAGTAGTGCAAATACCTCTTTCCGAGGCAAAAAGACCAGTGCTTTAAAAGAAGGGGTATGAAAGAAGAGGAGAAGAGACTAAGTAGTTAGAAAACATGGAAAAGAGGGATACATCAATGGGGTAGAGTACTCTGGTGATTAGGTAAAGAGTATAGGCAATAAGGAAAAAAAAAAGACTGATTAAAAATTCACAGTGCTATCCAATAGTCAAAAATAATGCTCAATTTTATCAATAATTTTATTTGTCAAGTATGAGGAGTTGAGAGCATTTCAGAACAGCAGTTTCATAAGCAGTCAAAAGGGGAAAGGGAAAGTGGTGTTTCAGAGCTCTGAAGCTACATTCCAAACATGATTTTCTAATCTAAGTTCAATGTTCTCATGCTCACCTTTATCTCTCTTGTTGCTTTCAAACCAAACCCCTCCTCTTCAAAGTTCGCTATTTCAAAACCCTCTGTGGATGCTCCATTTTCAGTTGCCCACTTTACCAATTCAGGGAAATAGTCATCTCTTTTTCCATCAAAGACAACAGACAAACCTATATACACAATTTATTGAAAAACAAATGCAGAAATAAGAGGATCTAGAAAGATAAAGAAGCTCAATATAAAAGCACATGTAAAAAGCTATCTGCTATCCCGCAGCAGTTCTAATTTGAAGTAGCTGAGTCTGACTCGTCTTTGTTAAGTGCTACTCAATAGTATACAAATGTCATACCCAATTTTCATCAACTTCAATATTCTGCCAAATTGGCTTACCAGTCATCTTAAAAACACAACCACCTAAACTGAGCCGTGATGAAATATGAAGCTCCCCTCCTCTTTCCGTTTTAAATAAGCTGAGCAAAAATATTTCCCGGCTTAATATTGATGATAAATGCAATCACCACAACATGTTAATACAGACACAAGGAGGAATTGGAGAGGCAAGCTGCAATTTCATTACTTCAGCACTGGAAATGATGATAAGCAGATCTCAAGCTCCTTCTCTCACATACAAGGCAGTTAGCTTTTTCTTGTAGCATACGGATCTACTATAATAACTAAGGACTGATCATCCTCCTGACATCACAGAGCTCATCCAAATTTTTACACTTGGCTTCTCCATCAGGCACGTGGTCCACCAGTGAAATCACAACTCTCATTCATTTCCTCAGCTTTCCCTGGCAGCTCTGCCAGCTTTTTCTGTATCTCTTTGCCTCTGTGTTCTCTTCAACCCAAACTCTAGTGTCAGATCACATTAAAAGTGTCCAAACGCCCCTGAAATGCTCAGGCCATTTTATGAGTGACAAAATATCATCAGCAAGTTGCTTACATCCAAAGATATTTTGGTTAAGCACAGGTGATAAACACATCTTTAGATTAAAAGGATTTTAAGAAAGTAGCATTAGTGTATTTGAAATCTTCCCCCCCTCCAAAACACACATTTCAAGCCCCAGAACCAATCAAATCTGCAGTTAACATAAAAGTGCAAGTATCATCTAAAACTATAGTCTTTGATGATGCAGTATAAAAACTCGATATTGACAAAGTATTTTTTTGAATGCAATGAGAATGTGGTGCACAGTGTTTTGGCTTTTTTTTTTTTAACAAAAGCTCGCATTTCTCCTTTATTTTATACTCCCTTCAAGTATGCTATTTTCTGAACGTATTCAGAGCTAAGGTTTCACAAATCTAGTAAGACTAGTTGCATAGCTTCTACAGAACTTGATAGGTGTTTATACTGTCCAAGACTTTGCTCTTTTGATTTTCAACATTGACTACTGTATAAGGCTACTGGAAGCTTTTAACATCCAGCTTGTATTTGGAACCATTCTCTAAGCATCTCTGAAATTCTACCTCTGTTCCTTATATATGATGTGGCCCAATACTTCCCACATTTTTCCAAATTAAAAAGAGTAGCTCCTTTAAACTACTAGTACTATTGGGGAACAATTTATTTCTATACTGAACAAAACATAGCTAAAAAAATTTTGCTAATAAGTAAAACAAGGAAAAATTTTAGACAGCAAAAATACTCAGTTTCAAATTAAGAGTTTTCTATAAGCAAGAACATTTTAGTTCACATTCTGCAACCCAGTGTTCTATTCAAGAAAAGTACAAAGTATGACACTTTAGGCAATATATACTCATTTGTACATCTTAGAGTTCCCAAAAGCAATTTATACTTCCTTTGCTAATTGTTTAAAGCTTTTATTAAGCTAGAAAACTGTGTAGTATAAATTACTACGTTCCATTAAAAATTAGTTTTGAAAGACATCGTTCTATTCATACTCACTATGTATGCAAAAATGTTACATTGAAAGCCATTTGTATGTCAACAGTGCTGTGGTGAGTAGGTTTTGCATCTTTCAAGGAAAAAAGTATGTCCTATTAACATAATACTATTATACTAATTCTATCACTTCTGCCCCCATGAATGTTTCAATCTTTCTGGCACAGATAAAAGATATAGTGAACAGCACAACCCCAATGGTAACTCTGTCCTTGTTAACCTGGATTATGTTTTACCATATGTATTACATCATAAAAACCAAGACATGTACCATACGTTTACAGAAGTCACAGGATAGCAAAACAATGAATTGAGTTCACCTTTACAGAGCTACAGGATGCAGTCACTCAAACAGTATCATTTATTCTTCCATGTGCCCTCTGCCAATAACTGATGTTCAGAGGTTTAAAAGTCCTTTCATGAAGTAAGATTCTCATGCATTAGTCAAAACTATTAAAAACAGGTGTGAAAAGGACATTTCAAACCTCTAAGTACAGCCTTCTGCTTTTTCAAGCAAGTACATGAACCACTCAAGCTCCATTTTAAATGCAGTCTGGCTTTTTTGCCATCACCATATAAATATCAGAGAAGAAGGAATTGTTATTTCCCTGCCATTAAAATACAACAGTCAAAAAAAGGTTACTTTTACTAAAATTACACGAAAAGCATTTTTTAGAGCATACCTCCAAATAAAAACAAAGCTAATATGAAAATGAAGTATCAACAACAGTGAGTTGTTGCAGAACATACTGGAAGAAAAACTGTTCTAATCTGAAAAATAAGCATACCTTAAACTTAGGAAAATTGGCAATAAAACTCCGTATTAACTATGGTATCATAAGCATTTCTTTATTTTAATTATGTGCTTGATTTATAGCAGATAGATTTATTAGCTGATGTATTTATTTTGTGCATTTATATATTTTTATTCTGTCATAATTTAATGTCATGACGTTGAATTGCTGAAACTGTTTCCATGTCCAGTAAAGAGTTCAGGTTAAAATAAAATAGTTATAAAAATTAAATTCAAAATGTTCACATTTATAGAGGCAGGAGGGGAGACTATGCAATCACGAATCAAAAAGGCCTATTATTCGCAAAGGATTTTTACTTCTAGTCCTTCAGATTGTCATCTCATCACAGTCTCAAGCTCTTTTTTCTACTTATCGAACAGAATTATCACAGGATCACCTGTCTGTGATATTCACTCAGAATTATAAGTATTAAAATGGTTAATGGCAGTGGTCATGCCCACCAGAATATTTCAGAAACACTTGGAAGTGTAAAAAGCAACTGCATTTTGGAGAACTAAAATTTTTTATGCCAAAATAATATGATTGCATAATATTTATATAACAATAAAAATATTCCTCATAGCTGTCAACAGACAATTCTTTAGGCAAATCAATACTCTGAGCCACCCTTATCTTACAATCTTTCATATTTACCTTTTTGCTTTTTGCGAATTTTCTCAACAAGTGAACGAATCTGTACATATTCTTCCCATTCCTTACCAGGACCTGGGGTAGGACTGCTGCATTCTGGAAATAAAAACACCAAATGAAAATGTTTTCTTTAATAACGTGTGTGTGTGTGTATATATATATATATATTTTAACATCAAAGAACAGGTCATGGTTTCACAGCAACTTTAACTGAACCTTAGTACTGCTTGTCCTTCAAACATGTTTACACGGTAAGCACTATAATCTCCATTGTTATAAATATCTCATTCTTTGAAATGTAATTAATAGATACTTTTAAAATTTTCACAGTATAACTTGCCTCAAGTTATTTTATTTTCCTTTTTTTAATATTCTTTCAGATTTAAGAAATATCAAATGTTTAAAAAGTGAGGAAGGAAAAAAGGTAAACAACCAGACCATTAAGTAGATAGTCTCTTAGATAAGACAAAAAAAGTCTGTTTCAATAATCCAAGCAAAACACTCTGTTTACATCAGTCTGCTTGCCATCATTCTTGCTGTAATGAAAGCAGACGATAATAGCATAGAGCTTACCTTAAGTAATTGAGAAATTTGCTGGTACATACATTTGACCTGCCTAGTCAATACTGTTTTCATAGATGCATGTGTACTGGAAGGACAAGCAAAGGAACACTGAGACAAGCTTTAGCTTTAGATTATATCCACAGTGTCTCTGACAATATTCTAAAGGTGTAGTGTGTGGATTTCTTCATCTAAGCGACATAAATCCAACTGGACAGCTGAAGATTACCTTGTTCAACTGATCTGAAAAATCTTTGCGTTGAATAAAATATGGAAGCTTGACAAAAAGAACAGCTGATACTCGTCTTTGCTTAGAAAATTAGATCTACGTTTTATTTTTGGTTCCAAAGCAGAGGCCAATTGTAGCACAAGCATCAAACTGCTCTGCCAACTCGTTGTCTCCTCTTTGTGAGCAATTCTAATTTTTCTAAGGCAACATTTAGATGTGTCCAGGATATGAAAATTTGGACTTGTGTGTCAACAAGAAGTGTAGCTCAGCACAGCTACTAGTAACAGGAGAAAGAGTGAACAGTATTTTAGCATCATCGCATGAAATCATGCTCTGCTTTTCATATTTACTAAAAATAACAGATGAGTTACAAGTTCCTCAACAAGTGAAACAACCCTGGGTCTATACACAAGAACTAAGCACTACAAAAAGTTTCCAATCAACAACAAAATTTTTATTTAAGCGACAAAAATATCAGTGCCGTTGAACTGAGTTGTATTGCTGCTTTCCACAGCTAGTTTCTCTACTCTGATACCCTTTCAAAGTACTGTTCAAATGATAAAACAGAAACAGTGCAATTCTTGAGGTTTACAAGAAAAACATTTTTGACAAAGCTTCAGTGTCAAGTTATCTACAGTAGGTTTTTTTTTAATTTAATCTCCCCCAGTATTTATGCTTGTGTTGAGATGTAAAGTCAAAAGCTGCCAGAAATATGGTATGTCCAATACATACACATATAAATAAGCCAATAATGGTATATACTAACAGAGATAGATACTATAAGATACATACTATACTATCTTAAGTAGGCTGAAATAGCAAATTTGGCCGCTTACAGGAAACGAATAGAATTCACTGACTTCAACAAGAGAACGTGTTTGAGTGGTCTGCACACCATCCCTTTTCCCAGGGAGGCATAAAAACGAAACTTACTTTGCAATAACTCGCTAATTAGGTTCAACATTTCCTTTGGAGATACTGTCGCTGTGGCTCCTGTACCTGACTTCTGAGTTTTCACTCGGCTCTTCTTCCCCATCTTCCAACTAAAACAAATTAAGAAGCACACCATCACCAATTACTAAGAAACAAAATACAATAACAATGAATGGACAAGATCTTTTATTAGTCACTTAAAAAAACAAAAACAAGAGGATGAGGAGTTGTTTCTGGTACATATATACATCCAAGTATTATTTGCATAGCCTGAACATAAGACAACCATACAGTGCAATCTGAAGCAATATTTCATGTAGTTGCACATTCATTACCTCAGGGTAATTAGAAACTAGAAATCTTAGAGACAAAAAAACCCAATATTCAGATCACTTGCAAATTCATTAGTTGTGAAGAAATATTATGAATACTAAAGTATCCATGCTGTATAAACCCAGGTTATTTTACCTCATCAGCTGCACTGTGGACATCAGCTGAATTAGTATTTGTGACTGCACTAAAGTAGCAATTCAAAATTAATAGAAAATTAGTATTCCATTTCAAAATAAAAATCAAAATATCATGTGTATATCCTTACAGCAGCTTCTTATGGTTAAAGACAACTAGTTAAGGAAAATTTATTTTCAGTTACCACAATAAATGGAACATCATCCTAGTCTGGTTTTCCAATATTCAGATCCCCTTGTTCTCATGGAGGACTTAAATCACACAACATCTACTGGAAGGGCAGCATAGCAGGGGGTGAAGTATCCAGGGAATTTCTCACGTGCACTAGGAGTAACTTTTGATGCTGGCGCTGAACAGGCTTCTAGGGGAGGGGTTGTGCAGGGTCTGGTACTCATGAATAAGGAAAACTGCTCATGCATACGACAGCCAACAGCAGCCTTGGATGCAGTAATTGTGAAATGGTAGTGTAAGATCTTGAGAAAAGAAAGGAAGGAAAGAAGTAGACTAAAGACTCTGGACTCGCAACAGTAGAGTTGCGGCTTGCTCGGGGAACGGTAAGCAGAATGCCCTGGGAAGCTACAAAGGAGTCCATAACAGCCGGTCATCTTCCTGAACTCTCTTCTCGGAGCACAAAAACAAGCCTTCCCAACATGCAAGAAAATCAGCAGGCACAGGAGGAGGCCAGCTGACTGTAGATGGGACTCCTCACTGACTGAACTCAAATGAAACAGAAACATATGTAAAGTGGAAGCAGGGACAGGCAACCAGAAGAGAATATAGGCAAGCGGAGACTGAATTAGGAAGGCCAAAGCTTGTCTGGAGTTGATATTGAAGAGGGGTGTGAGAGGCAAGAAGAAATGCTTCTACAGGTACACCATCCGCAAGAGACAGGTCAGGGAAAGCACAATTCAGCTGCTAAATCGGGAAGCAACCTAGTGATGAAAGGTACAGAAAAAGTTGAGGTACCCAACACCTTGGGCAAGGTCTGCTATCAAGCTTCCCAGGCTTCCACATCTAGTAGCAAAGCTTAAGTGAGAGGAGCTATCAAGTTAAAGACCTTTTAGGTAAGCAGGACCTACACAAGTACATAGGACCAGATGGGAAACATCCAAGGTACTGAGAAAGCTAGCTGATGTCACTGCAAGACTGCTGGCTATCATCTTTGAAAAGTCATAGTGATTGCCTGTGACGGGAAACAGGTAACTTAAAAACAAACAAACGAAACCCAACAGAAAAGCAAGGTGGGGGAAGGAGGGGATAGAGGACCCAGGGAACTAGATAGTAGTCAGTCTCACCTCATTTGCTGTACAAAACATAGAGCAAGTCCTAAAGTGAAGCTATTTCCAGGCATGATGGACATGAATATGACTGGGATCAGACAACAGGCTTCTAAAGGCAAACCATATGCAACCAACCTGACTGCCCTCTGAAGAAGTAACTGGCTCTGTGGACCAGGTAGAATCTGTGGTTGCCAGTGCTTTGACTTAAGCAAGGCTTTTAAGACTGTCTTCCATAGTATTTTGGTTGTCAAACTGAGGAGACATGGACTGAATAGATGAACAACAAGGTGGACAAAAAGTTCCTTGGACCATGAGGTTCAAAGAGTTGTGGTCAATAATTGCAAGTCTAACTGCCAACTGGTTAGATGCAGTATTCCTCAGTGGTCAATACTGGTCAAGATCTTCATCAGATTTGGATGCTAGGACAGAAAGCATCCTCAGCAAATTTACAGATGATATAAAACAGGGAAAGCAGTCAACATGTTGGAGGGCAGGGTCACCATTCAGAGGGACCTCAACAAACTGGAGGGAGTTGCCAACAGGAACTTTATAAAGTTAAACAAAGACAAATGTAAAGTGTCCTGCATTTGGGAAGGAAAAAACCCTATAAAGCACTACAGCTGCAGACTGGACAGGCAGCAGCTCTGCAGAAAAGGACTTGGAGACTCTAGCAGACAGCAAGTTGAACATAAGCCAGCAGTGCACCCTTAAAGCAATGAAAACTAACTGTAGTTTGAGTTGCATAAGCAAGAGCATGAACAGCAGGTCAAGTGAATTAATTATTCCCTCTGCTTGGCACTGGTGAGGCCACATCTAGAGTAGTGTACAGTTTTGCGCCATGCAACACAGGAGGTACTAGCAAACTGGAGTACGTCCAGAGGAAGGCCATTAAAATAGTGAAAGGGCCGACACATGAAATGAAAGACATGATGAGGGAATTGGGTTTGTTCAGTCTGGAGAAAAGGAGCCCACTACTGCCTTCACCTGTGTAACAGGGAGTTATACAAAGGATGGAGGCAGATTCTTCTCAGACAGGCACAGCAAAAGGTCAACAGGCAAGAATCTCATGATGCTGCAAGGGAAATTCCAAACAGATGTAAGGAAACTCCTCACTATGAGGGTAGTTGAGCACTGGAACAAGATGGAGATTTAACAGCATCTCCAAGTAACCTTGGAGAATTTAAAAATTTGACTCTGCAAGGCCCTAACCAACCTGATTAACTTTGAAGTTAAAGCAGAAAATTGAGCCTCTCAATCTTCAGAGGCCCCTTCCCATCTACATTTTTCTATAATTCTATGTGTTACTGCAACTGATGTTTTCACCTCCATATGGGCAGCCTACGTAGTCTATATGGTATATAATATGTTCCTGTACAGTACAGAAGATTCTACATCCAGTTACTTCACAGTGGGAGGGGAGTCAGACACATTCAGGTAACTTAGGACATCTGAAAGATTTCAACTGCCTGAGCCATCAAGATCATAACAGCTTTAAGTTATCACACACTGCACAGTAAAATCTGTAAAAATGCTAAAAATCACTGTACAGAAGTAGTACTTTGGATTCCAGGTGTTCTGAGCACTCTGTACATATAAAAGGGATCCTTTTATCCTTGGTCAGTATAGCTAGCTTACCCAAAATTAAATGTTTCCTCTCATACTCTGTCAAAAAGTTTTGTTCTTTGGCAGCTGGTATTAATACCGGAATGTATCGACCAGCATCTGAAAAGCTGCTTCTCCACACTGACCAAGGCTGAAACAATTGCAATCCATATGTTAACTGTCTGTGTAGGGCAGATCTTTTAAATACAAATGCTGTATGTTAAAAAACTTCTGGTGGGAAATGTACATAATCTGGCTGCTTTAATTTTCCATTAAGATTAGAGTGAACAAGAAACTGCCAAGCTTGTTTAAATACTAACTTTGAATGATCAGGAAGCAAATTAAGGTTAACATTGTTAACTTACTAACTCAAAATTAAAGGAGCTCAAAACTGACTGAAAAGACAACACCTTGTAACATAAAGAAAAAAAAATCTAAGGCAAAACTATAAGGTGTTTTTAAAAAAGGAAGGCAAACAAAACAAATTCTTTCATCTTCTGACACTAAATGCAGTGCAAGGAACAAGACTATCCCCGAGCACATGGAGACTGTGAAGTCCTGGGGCATAACACCTCCCCCCAATTTTAGCTCTCTCTAGCACATAACGGAGGCTCAAACAACCCATCTGCGCTGTTTAATTTTATCAGTCCCCCTTGAGTTGCATAACTTACTTTCCCAGTACAGCTTCTACCATGAAAAGCCCTCATATGCAGCCTAGTAAGGAGAGATCCCACAGACTGGATGTAGTCACACTGGCTGGTCACACCCCTTGAAGTTTGTAAATTAACACTGGACATCCTCTTGAAAGACACTGCTCTACCACAAGCAATTACATTTGATACAAGATTTGACAACATTTTTCAGCTCATATGAAGCAGTGAGTAACGCTCATTATGAGATCCATGTTGAATTCATAATAGTACAAATTGGAAATAGGATCAATATAAATGGCCAACCTGCCATAATACAGTACAAGACAAAGCCACAGAAGAGCAATACCAAACAAAAAAAGAACTTAGAACAGTTTATTTTCATGGTCTTCCCATTATACACTTTTTCCTTCTTTTTTTTTCTTCCCTGGTAATGCTCTCATACTTGTAAAAAGATAAACAGAGCTCTTGGTACAGGAGGCCACCTTCACAAAGACTTCATTTGCGCATCACTATTCACTTGGGTGTTCCACTCTCCCATATGCCATCCTGTTACATTTATTTTAGACCCTTCTGCTTTTAAGAGAAATCAAGTCAGACAGGTCTGTAATGGATCCAACAGCAGGTTCGGGAACAGAGTCCAAAATCTTCAGGGCAAGAACAATGCAGTTCTGTGTTGATTCATACAAATGGTTTTCTGCATTCCCTCTAAGCACAATCCCCTGCATCTTTAGAATCATCAGAAAATTAAAGCACTCACACAGTGTATTCTATGTTACAAGTTATAAATTATGATGACATACAGTTTATATCAATCAAGATGCTCATAAATATTAAAATAAATAAGTTGAACTGAAATTATTTTGAAGTATTTTGGTTTCTCATTTCTAAGAACAAAGTATGTTTATTGACCAATAAATTGAGGAAAAGCAGTCTAAGTAAATGTTCTGTATACGTAACTACCAAAATACCGCAGGCTTTTTCTTTTTTTTTTTTTCTTTTTTTAAGTTGTATTTAGAGGAAGGATCTGCTTGGAATTTAAACATCCATTGGTAGATTTTATAAGAAAAAACCCAAAGACAACTGTGCATATATTATACATGGAG